AAAAGGCAGCGCGACGTAAGCACATTGTTGTGGAAAATTTCACGGATACACACATACACACACACACACACACACTGCACGTCACACGTTTTCGATACGTTATAGACGGTGTGTCACGCGCCTGTATGGAAAGAGTAATAATAATAACAATAATAATAATAATAATAATAAAAACGTCGTATACCACCCAAGTCGTGGCGGTGGCGGCGGCGGTCGCTTATACGCCGAGCGGCGGCGCAACGCTATACACATACGCGTCGCTGACAGGTGGTAACCGCAGTGTTTCCCTAGGCGCGCGTAGTATAAGGGCTGTTTGACAATTTCAAGTGGTGCACTCGACGCGCGTTTTGTCCCCGCGCCCAGGCGGCGGCGGGGCAGCAGCAACCACTGCCGCCGATATATACTGATATATACATACATACACGCATACACACACACACACACGTCAATAATATCACACACACACACACACACACACACACACACAACACGTTATTCATTATATATATATATATATATATATATACACACAATAATATAATATGATGATCGACGACGATTCGTCGTACTTGTTGTTTTCATTATTACTATTAATACGTATATATCCCATACACACACACGCGCGCGCGCGCGCACATACACCGCTTCACTCGAAGGCCCGCCGACCGGCCGGCACGCACGCACGTTTCTGCTCCCTCCGCACGCCGCCTGCACCGCGGGCTCTCGAACGTCCCACAACCATACATAATATAATATAATATTATATTAGAATATTGTACGCCGTCAGCCAGCTCGCGCGCTCTTATGATGGCGCGCGCGCGCGCGTTTGTGAGTGTGTGTGTGGAAAAAAAAAGTTCGAGTGGATTATTTGAACGGTTCGAAAAACGGTCGGACGTCTTGTTGTGCTGCCGCTCGCGCGCGCTGTATATTATACAACATCGCTCGAGAAAGTGAAAATCCCTGCTCGTATAATATTATACGCGCACCATTACATATATTATATTATATAGGTATATAGTATTACAATACACGAGCTGCCGCTGAGTTCCGCTCCAGTTCAATATACGTATATACCTATACACATGTATACAAATCGGCCCTGGTGTGTGGGTGGTGCGCGGTTTATTTATTTTTTTTCTCGTATTATTTCGACTAAGCGGTGGCGTTTGCAGTAGAACAGCTCTCCCGCCGATACGTATAATATGATATAATATACACTCGTAATCCTCCTTCACGCGCACTTTATCCCGCATATATATATATATATACTTAACGCACCACACACGTATATATTATATTATACATCGCATACCACCGGCGCGGGTTCTTTACGTACTAAACAGCACGATATTAAAGGCGCGAGCATAATAACATGTCTACACACTCGTCTCTGCTCTAGTGCGCGCGCTTAAAACCGCGCGACGGGCTTTTTTCAGCCCCGTGCAGATGAAACCGCGCGCGCAAGGGTTAGGTTAGGCGCAATAACACCGACGGCGACGCGACCGAGCACAGACCATTTATTTTGATATTGTAATACGCCTACACGCGCGTAATCACTTGTAATACACATTTCATAAATAATTTTCGCGCACCCATAGACCGCCGGGCGACGGCTTTGCGGTGTCTGCGGATTCCTAAAAAACACGCACACACCCGCACGTCCGTATCGGTATTATTAATTAATACATATCGTATTATTTTAATGTACGTGCCGCGACTATTCGATACATATACGCGGTGTGTGCGTGTGCGTGTGTATAATCCATCCCACGAGGATTTACTGATTTTAAACGGTAGTGGATTTGTGTGTGTGTGTGTGTGTACAGAGTGTTTATGTGAAAACAAATCGCGTTTAAATCGCGCGATTCGACACGATACAGTTATTATACGCACACACACGCTCGCGCGCGCGCTATAATAATGTTATACTGTATATTTGTTGTAGAGCTATATCGTTATTTGTCCAATAACGATTCGATAATATTTACAAGCAGTGTATGTATATACGCGCGCATTACAAATATACAAGTATACATTTTATACATAGGTATATATATAGACAAACTGCAAGTATATACAATATTATACATGTATATGTATGTATATATATATATATATTTATATATGTGTTTGTATGTGTGTATCGGGGATAGGAACAAGACGTGTATAGTGCGAGTTGTATTAAATATTTATACGGGGAGGGGCTATTAACCGTTAGCGGCGGCAATTAAACGTCTGCCAGGTATATACTTGTGCATTTGTTTTGTTATACACATTAAATAGGGTATAATATATTAATAAATAAACGCTCGTTTAATATATACACATATATACAATATATATTTGTGAGCGTGATCCTTGTATACGCGCGCGCGTGCGTGTGTGTGTGTGTGTGTGTTATAAATATTTGTCAGTCAACACCGCGACGGTGGACACGGTGACGGTGGCGGAGTAAGTTGAATTTACTCGCGAGTAATGTGATTATCCGACAAAAACAAACAACAGTGGCTGCGGTGGCGCAAACATAAACCACCTCCGCAACACGATGATTATCAAATAAATATTTATTGTTAAATATTATTATTAATATTATTGTTATTATTATCATTATTATTATTATTATTATTATTATTATTATTATTATTATTATTAT